AGGTCATGCTTTAGTCTGCTGCCAGCTAAGTGCTCTTTGTGCACCATCATTTCCAGGAATATGACTGGACTCAACAAACCTGAACATGTGCAAAAATACTGATATATACTCAAAAGGGAAAATAATCTCCATAATATTAGCCATTAAAACCATACCAAAGTGTATATTTTCTAAGATTTCTTAAAAAGACTAATTGTGTCTCCCTTAACCCAATCAGCTGAAGTTTGAACAGAACTAAAAATGAGGCAATTGTTAGACAAGTAAAGAATTTGAATATTTTAACAAGGGGGAGAAATGATACCATGATACCATGTTTCCCTATGGTATAGGTTTGATTAAAAATTGGGCCCAAACATCTCTGCCCTTCAAAGCTAAATTTGCCATATATTCCCCTTTTCAGAAAGTATCATTAATATTTTTAATTAGAACAGCTAAAAAGAAAAAGGTGACTGCATTTAGTCACATGCTTACTGTAATTTAGGACTGTTTTAGAAATCACCAGTAACCTGTTTGTCTCCCATTCATCCTACTTTGCATCGTCTTTGTCAACATTCTGGTTCACTTATTACCACCTGAACTTCTGTAATGAGCTGAATGCTTTCTGTCCCATTTAATTCACTACATCCACCACCAGACTAATCTTTCTGAGGCATACTCCGATGACACTGTCCCCACATTCATATACCTCCGATAGCTCACACTGCCATCTAAATTAAGAACACATCAGCCTTGGGACACCTGGGTGGCTCAGTCGGTTGAGCATCCGACTTTGGTTCAGGTCATGATCTCACAGCTGGTGAGTTCGAGCCCCGCGTCGGGCTCTGTGCTGACAGCTCAGAGCCTGGAGTCCGCTCCGGATTCTGGGCCTCCCTCTCAATCTGCTCCAACCCACTTGCATTCTGTCTCTGTCTCTCTCAAAAATAAATAAACATTAAAAAAAAATTTTTTTTTTTTCTAAAGAACACATCAACCTGACTTTTGAGGTCCTTTACGATCTAACCTAGCATACTTTTCTAGTCTTCTTTCTTATAATTCTCCAACACTTAACCTAAGTTCCAGAACATATCCTTTTTTTTTCAATATATGAAGTTTATTGTCAAATTGGTTTCCATACAACACCCAGTGCTCATCCCAAAAGGTGCCCTCCTCAATACCCAGCACCCACCCTCCCCTCCCTCCCACCCCCCATCAACCCTCAGTTTGTTCTCAGCTTTTAAGAGTCTCTTATGCTTTGGCTCTCTCCCACTCCAACCTCTTTTTTTTTTTTTTTTCCCTTCCCCTCCCCCATGGGTTTCTGTTAAGTTTCTCAGGATCCACATAAGAGTGAAACCATATGGTATCTGTCTTTCTCTGTATGGCTTATTTCACTTAGAATAACACTCTCCAGGGGCGCCTGGGTGGCGCAGTCGGTTAAGCGTCCGACTTCAGCCAGGTCACGATCTCGCGGTCTGTGAGTTCGAGCCCCGCGTTGGGCTCTGGGCTGATGGCTCAGAGCCTGGAGCCTGTTTCCGATTCTGTGTCTCCCTCTCTCTCTGCCCCTCCCCCGTTCATGTTCTGTCTCTCTCTGTCACAAAAATAAATATTCAAAAAAAAAATTAAATTAAAAAAAAAAAAAAAAAAAAGAATAACACTCTCCAGTTCCATCCACATTGCTACAAAGGGCCATATTTCATTCTTTCTCATTGCCACGTAGTACTCCATTGTGTATATAAACCACAATTTCTTTATCCATTTATCAGTTGATGGACATTTAGGCTCCTTCCATAATTTGGCTATTGTTGAGAGTGCTGCTATAAACATTGGGGTACAAGTGCCCCTATGCATCAGTACTCCTGTATCCCTTGGGTAAATTCCTAGCAGTGCTATAACTGGGTCATAGGGTAGGTCTATTTTTATTTTTTGGAGGAACCTCCACACTGTTTTCCAGAGCGGCTGCACCAATTTGCATTCCCACCAACAGTGCAAGAGGGTTCCCATTTCTCCACATCCTCTCCAGCATCTATAGTCTCCTGATTTGTTCATTTTGGCCACTCTGACTGGCGTGAGGTGATATCTGAGTGTGGTTTTGATTTGTATTTCCCTGACGAGGAGCGACGTTGAGCATCTTTTCATGTGCCTGTTGGCCATCCGGATGTCTTCTTTAGAGAAGTGTCTATTCATGTTTTCTGCCATTTCTTCACTGGGTTATTTGTTTCTCGGGTGTGGAGTTTGGTGAGCTCTTTATAGATTTTGGATACTAGCCCTTTGTCCGATATGTCATTTGCAAATATCTTCCCATTCCATTGGTTGCCTTTTAGTTTTGTTGGTTGTTTCCCTTGCTGTGCAGAAGCTTTTTATCTTCATAAGGTCCCAGTAGTTCATTTTTGCTTTTAATTCCCTTACCTTTGGGGATGTGTCAAGTAAGAAATTGCTATGGCTGAGGTCATCCAGAACATATCTTAAGCCTTTCTGTGTTTATAGTTTAGGCCTTTCCCTCAACTTAGATGCACTTCCTCATTTTCTGGTGAAAACCTGTCCCCAGCTTTCAGGCTATCACTATCACGTGTCTCCCTGCCTCCAATCTGATGTCATTTTCTTTAGAACTTCTTATGACACTTCACTCAGATGTGTCTAACAGCCAGTCATTTATCCTCTCCTACTAGAGAGAAAGCTCAAAGAGAAGGGCCTAAATTGAGTGTTTCTTGATAACATAAACTGAACTTGTCAATAAGGAAAAAAGAAGACACACTTTATGCAAAGGGGAAAAAAAGCCTTATTGTTAGTAGAGTAGAACACATCCTCCAATAGAAATTTTAATAAATGTATCCTCAAATCAACAACCTTACCAGTCTTACCATACATTCAATTCTTACAGGAGATACATAACTGGGAGCAGTGTGCATACTGCTTTTCAAACATAGCAAACAAGTCCCTTATCTCCAGCAGTACATTAAATGAATAGTAAAGTATGACTGTGTTTCATTAATGCCTCATTTATCTAACATCACTAAGATACGGAGGAGAAGTGAATTTTCTGGAGAAGTGGCTTCCTACTGTAGAAACAGAATTCAGACGTGCCTGTGGCCTGGACCAGCTGAGAGATGCTTCTGGGACACCGACCTCCACTTCGCCCAGTCTAGCAGAGAACACTCAGGCAGAGTGGGGCGGTCACTGTGTACCAGATACTTATACCTGTTAAAACAGGTAGGCAGCATGGAAAGAGAGCAAAGAGGGTATTAAAAACCCTCGAAAAGGGCAAAAGGAGGTTTTTGCATCTAGCAGAATCCTCCTTCCAGCCTGTGGGTACTAGCCACAGTTGTATTCCCCTGAGAAACTCTGGGGGGTTGAGCAGCTGTTCTGTTATGTCATCACCTGCTAGGAGAGTCCATCCTCCCTGCCACTGGAAACACTTTCACTCTTGAATTAGGTGTTATGGCTTAAATCGTGTACAGCCCAAAATTCGTATGTTGAAGGCCTACCCACCAGTATTTCAGAACATGACCCTATTTGGATATAGGGTCAATGCAGATATAACAGATGAGGTCATTCTAGAGTACAGTAGGGCCTCAATCCAACATGACTGGTGTCCTTATTGAAACAGGAAATTTGGAAACGGACAAGCACACAGGGAGAGTGCAATGTGAAGCTGAAGGCAGACTGGGCTGATGCTTCTATAAGCCACGCAACTTCAAAGATTGGCAGCAAACCAGCAGAAGCTAGGTGAGAGGCATGGAACAGGTTCTTTTTCACAGCGCTCAGAAGGCACCCTGATCTCAGACTTTCGCCTCCAGAACTGTGAGACAATAACTGTCTGTGACTTAAGCCACCAAGTTTGTGCTTCTGTCTGTGCATCTCTAGCAAACTCATCGTCCCTACTGGTATCTTTCCATTGATCACATCACCAACCTACTATGACAACCACACACCACCCTAATAGAACTTCTTAACAACGTTAAGCACATTCATTCAACAAGCACATATTGATGTCCTCTATGTGCCAGGCATGAAGGACTGAACAGTATGACTGACATGACACGGTCTCTCTCATACTGGTTACAGGATATGATCATGATACTGATCAGGATAACTGACAACATACCATAATTACACAATGATAAAATCACAATTGTGCAACAGCACTGCATGACTAAATGACTCTTTAAACTGAGGGTAGTGGGCATATTTAACCATGTCTGCATGACTCAGTGACCTCGCTATGGAGGCCCACCATATATTTCCATGCCCTTTATTACTTCTGTTCCTCTCCGAGATGTCAAGTTGTTGATTACCATGAGGTCTGCTTTTATCAGCTCCCCTCCTCTACCTCTGCTCACTCTCTCCAATCCACTTATTTCTGGTTTGGCGTTTCTAATTTGCTACGGGCTAGGGGCGCCTGGGTGGCTCAGTCAGTTATGCGTCCAAATTCGGCTCACGTCATGATCTCACGGTTCATGAGTTCGAGCCCCACATCCAGCTCTGTGTTCCCCCTCTCTGTGCCCCTCCCCTGCTCATGCTATGGCTCTCAAAAATAAATAAACATTAAAAAAATTAATTTTCTACAGGCTATAAAAATTAGGTAATTAATATTGCTAAGAAAAACATATTGAATAATAAAAACTGCTTCATGTGAGAACTGAAGATTTGGCTTAAACACAGTCTTTCTGATTTACTTTCGATTCTCAGAGACATTTTTTTTTTCCTGGCAGAACAATTTCTCCCATTCAAAAAGATTCTGTTACAAGGCACTAAGGCAGGACATTATTATACAGAGAGTATTACTGAATAAACTGCCCACAAACACTTGTTTTCTTTCAAAGGGAGTACAGCACAGGTATGCTATGTAAATAGTTATCTAAGAAATACTGTGCAAATTCAGAATTATTTTATAGCCCAGTGTAAGGTATATTTTTCTTCTCTTATTGTGTATCGTAACACCAAGTAATAGGACCATAAGGTCATATGGCACTCAACTGGAAAGCCCAGCCAAAACCTTTTGCAGTACATAATAAATAACCACGTACCTCTTATGCATATCCAACAATCATCTTTTGTGTTGTGCTTTTTAAGTTCTTCTTCAGTTACTTCAATTAACCTGCCTTTTAATCCCGTTAGATCCTTTCCACTTTTAGTGAGTCGAATCCAATCCATAAGACTTCTGCCCTGTTTTAGAGGCACCTGAAAAAAGGAAAAGGGAAGAATTCAATGTGGCTTCTTCGAGTCAGCTGCTCTCCCCTCCCCTTCCTCCCACTTCTCTTAAGGCTGCTTCGTTACTCTTACCCTCATTCAAAAAAGTAAGAAAATTCAAATCAATAATTCTACATTTTTTTTATAGATTTAGGTGGTTGCCAAAATCATCTCTGCTATATTCGAATTATAAATAGAACAATATAAAACACCTGGGCTATGAGGTAGGGCTTAGAAACTCTGTCACACAAACAGTCATCAGAATGGTATCTAGTAAAACAATAACATTGAACCTGGAGTCAGAAAACAAGTCTTGGTTCCGGCTCTGTCACACGGAATTAAGCTCCTGCCTATACTTATATAACTAGTTTGTTACACAGTACCAGAGAAATGTTTAATGTAAAAGAAGGCACACTCAAGGAAGCATATTGCTATACACTGAATGTGTGTGTCCCTCCAAAATTCATATGTTGAAATCCTAACCTCCAATGTGACATTAGGAAGTAGGGCCTCTGGCAGGTGACTAAGTCTGGAAGGTGGAGCCTTCGTGAATGGTATTAGTGCCCTTATTAAAAAGGCCTCAAAGGGCTCTCAGCCTTTCTGCCATGTGAGGATGTGGGGAAAAGATAGCTATGAACCAGGAATCAGGCCTTCATCAGACACTGAAGTTGTTGGTGCACTGATCTTAGAATTCCCAGCCTCCAAAACTGTGAGAAATAAATTTCCATTGTTTGTAAGTCACCTTATAAAATTTATGGCCCTCTGTTACAGCAGACGGAATAGACTAAGATATTTATCAATTTCACTTTCCGGAATCCTACCTATTGCAGGCACTCATTTCCCCCCAAATAACCAAACTAATAGGTCTGTGGTACCACTGCAATTTCACATTCCTTCCTACCAACTACATCATCCCCTTCTTACCATCCCTGAAATTCTCTAGGTTTCTTGGTCCCAGTAAATGAAGTAAAGTATGAGAAAATGATCTTTCCCATCCCAAACCAAAATCACTTCTCTCTCTTATCTACGAGGATTCCATAATCTACTGAGTAGTTAAACAACTCTAATCATGGGCCCTCCCTCCTTCAGTGGCTCTCCACACTACTCTACAATAAATAATGTCTCTAAATTCCCTCGTTTACCATGCCCTTCCTATCTGATCATAGTTTACCTCACTAGCTCTGAGTTTTAGTTTCTGCTCCTTCCTATTACATGCTTTAGCTAAATGGGAACTGATTCCTTGATTAGTATGAAACACCTGCTCCTCTGCCTGGATCAATTCCCTTCCTCTCTCCCACAGACATTATTTCCTCCAGAAGCCTTCTCTGACCCTAACCCCTTGTGGTCATAACATACTGTTACAATTCTTATGACATTTGTAACTATTTGTCTGTGCAGCCTATTAGCTTATTAGACTAACCTCCTTGGAAACAGAGACCACATCTCCAGCATATGGGAAGTTCTCAATAAATATTTATTTACTAGTGTCAATAGAAATAATAAAGCTACCATATATTGAGTACATATTCTGTAACACACACTGTGCTGAGGGCTTTATACAACAATCCCACAACAATCCATGGGGTCTGAATAAAAGCCTAAGGGCAAGTAACACAGAGGAGTGCATACCATATACCAAGATTGTGCTAAGAGAAACATTATCTCGTTTAATCCTATGAACAGCCCTATAAAATGGGTACTATTATTCTCATTTACACCTGAGAAAAATGAGACTCAGAGATTAAGTCATGGGACCTGGGAAAAGAATCTGGGTCTTTCTCACTCAAAAATCTATGCTTTTAACTATTATGATATACAACCTCCCCAACTAGCTTCTATTTTCTCAACGTCTACCCATGTCATACAAGCCAGACTCAGGTTCTAACACTGCAAGATTACCTTATTTCATAAAGTACTGGGGGGGGGGGGGGGGGAAGGGGGGTTGTCTGAGTTTCCTCTTGAATTGCACAATAATTGTATTTTGTTCTCTTTTTGGACCCAAAGACTCACCTTTGTCATCACCATCTGTGAACCTTTTGTCTTTGCTTCTGAGCTTTCTCTTTTAAAATGATGCTGAGAACATTGTTTGTAGTTTGAACAGAAGGCCAGAAACTCATATTCTAATTCAGATATTCTTTCTCTGCAAAGGCTATACTTATTTAGCCAAGAATTTAGCTCAAGGAGAGAAACGGGTCAAACATCAAGGAGGAGGGGTCAGATGATTAGATGGCTGGATGATACATGTAGCAATAAATGAAATGTCCCAGCCAGAGTCACATCACATCAAGTTTTGGGGTCCAAAGCAACATGTCTTAAACAGTTCCCTTTCTGTGACATAGAGATAGCAAAAGCACTCATTTTATGGGATCACTGTAAAGATTAAATGAGTTAATACACACGAAGCACTCAAAACACTTAGACCATACACAGTAAGCACCGAATAAATTTTAGCCATGTTATTACTATTGTTAGAGTTACAGACTTCTGAAAAGCTAATGAAAGCTACAGATTCCTGAATCCATAATTCTAATCCAGAGTCAAACTCCAGGTTTCAGTGGAAGGGGGAAAAAAAAAAGTCGGTGAAGATCCTAAATAATGCTAAGATCCAAGAATTCAGAATTGGGGGGGTGGGGGGAAGTGGCCCAAGCAGGTGGAAGTTTCAAAAACAAAACATGAAGTTATAGAATGAGGAACTAACAAATAACTGGAGTAATTATCTACGTTGCAATGAACACAGGAGACAATTTTATTAAATTTTGTAAATATAAAATACATTTGTATTCCACCTGTTGCTAACAGTAACTATGTTTAACTAAAAGTTAAAGAGTATCATATTAGCTTCAAAGTCAGCAAGTGGTATCAGTAGAAAAGGCAGTGATTAAACAGGTACCAAAAGTAGAAAGGCAGCATGACTAAAAGAAGTGTCCATAAACCCTCCGGAGGACTGTAGACATTTGTTCTCGCTTCCCCAATCTTCCCTAGTTGCCACCTTTGGAGGGATGGTCACTGGCCAATGTCGCTACTTCCCAACCTTTCCCTTCTCTTAGGGAACCACATCACTCACAACTCCTTCCGGCAAGTGTAGAACAAAAGACTGGAGAGGAGGATAGGCTGAGGGAAAGAAGCTAATACTGAATACCTATATGATAACGTCAAGCACTGTGCTGGCCCAGTCATACACGACTAAATTTAATTCGCGGGAAAAGACTTCACATTAAGGGAATTGCGGATGGGAAAGGGGCTAGTAGGTGAGAGGGAGGGAGGTTAGGAGAACTCAATGATTGCAGACATAAGTGGATCAGAAAGAGATCGTCAGCAAGGGCAGGAGGGAACGAAGGCGAGAGCGGAGGACAGGAGGTGGAAGAGGGGTCCTTAGGAGAGAATGGACCTTTGGGTAGCAAGGAACGCCGGCGGGCGGCGAGCTGAATGAGACCAACGGTGTCACCCGCTTACCTTGCTACGCCCCCCGGAGGCGACGCGCTGCTGTGAGCTGGGGGCCGGGAAAGACTGGGAAGGGACGTTCAGCATCCTGGACCCCTGGCCCGGGCCCTGCCCGGGGTCCGCCGCCGGACAAGATCTCTCAGCTCGACCCCCTCTACCGTAACACCTACCGCTCCGGCTCCGAGGCCGGGCAGAGGCCAAGCCCCCGACCCACTTCCGGGGTCGCCCGGGGTGAGGCGCGCCATGACGCAGCACGTTGAGGCCGCGAAGGGCGGAGCCAAAGGAAAGAACGGAGCGCCGGCAGGGGAGGAACCAGAGAGAAGTACGCATGCTTCGTTAGTCCTGAAGTCTGAATTTCAGCACCGCAGGGAGGTGACAGCTATTCCGTGGTAGCATTTAAGACAGAGGGAAGCTGTTCCTTAGCCTTGGTGCTGACAGAATCTGAAAATAAATTCTTATAGACTGTTAAACCAGGACACAAGTGTCTGTCTATTGTTAAGCACTACCACCACACTACTTGAAATATGGCACAAAATAACACTTTCAAAGCATTTTGATTTCTCTGAAACTCTCTACTGTAAGACACCTGTCTGTACAGGAAAGAGAACCTTTAAGAATTAAGGTGTCAAATGCAAACAGCCACTCCTACTAGGTGAAGCTTCACCTTTAAGAACCCCCGCTAATGACTAACGAATGAGTCGAAGAAGTAAAGTCTCCTGCTACGATCACCACTCACAAGCATTTCCTCTTCATCTAACTTCCTATCTTCACTGAAGGATACAGGGAATTGCTTACTGATACAACCCCAGATGGAGTGACGAGCAGTTATGTTTGAGTCAAATAGGTTTAGTTTGAATGCCATCTCTCTGCATTTAATAAATAAGGCCTTATGCGAGTTATTTGAGTGTCTCAAAGTTTCATTTTCCCCATCTGCCTAATGGCTTTAGATTTCAGTAAGGATTAAATGAGATGTCATATGTAAACTACCTGGTATAGTGCCTGGTTGGTTAGTTGTAGCCAATAAATCAATAAATGGCGGTGGTTCTTCATACTATTCCAACATATTGATTAGAGAAGCTCGAATACTATGCAGGTAAAAACCAGTCCCTAATGATCAAAGTCCAGATTCGTGACCTGGTGGATTTTTTGTATATCCCTTGGGGTACACACACCTCCTGAGTGTAGAATCCAGTGAAGAGAAAACGTTTTCAGGAGAAAAAATATACTTGTAAATAACTCTCCCTAATTGAGGCCATTACTAATTTTTCCTGACTCTGACACATGATTTGAACTTACTCTATTTCAACCGCCTTGTCCTTAAGGTTAGAAGGCAAATTGTGTGAATCTAGCCATTCAAGTAAGAGGATTTCTTAGCCAGGTAACCATCTTGGACCTTCACCTCTACCTATCGCCATTCTGGGATATTAGTAAACATTTTATTGGCAATTAAAATGCTTATTGTGAAAAATTGTATTTAAGCTAAAGAACTTCACAACCATAGTCTATCTACTATGTTACCTTTACCTTGCAATGTGCTCCTGTTTTCTCTTTCATTAAATGATAAGGTGTTCTTTCATAAGTCTACATTAAAAAAAAAAAAAAAAAAAAAAAGCTTGGGGCACCTGGGTGGCTCAGTCCATTAAGCGTCTGACTGTTGGTTTTGGCTCAGGTCATGATTTCATGGTTCCTGGGATCAAGTCCTACATTTGGATCTGCGCTGAAGGGGCAGAGCCTTCTTGGGATTCACTCTTTTCTGTCTGTCTCTGCCCCTCCCCTGCTCACATTCTCTCTCTCAAAATAAATAAACATTTAAAAAGATTAAAAAAAAACTTAAAAAAGCTACTCACTGACAATTTCTTATTCACTTCCCACGAGAAAAATTTTTACATGACAATATTAGGAGCAAGGAACCAGAACAAAGGAAGGTGATGTTGTTGAAAATCACTTCATATCTGCCAAATTTCTTTGTTCCCCCTTGGACAGAAATGGAAAAATATCAAATTCTAGCCTTTGACTCCCCTTTTATTGACTCCATGTAAGTCATACTCACTTTTTTTTGTTTTGTTTTAGTTCTGGGAATCCCTCAATGTAGCACTACAATTATTGAACACCCATGCTATTTTACTACTGGGTTTAAGGACAGCAGAGGAGTATTAAAGTGACAATGACTTGATTCTTCATTCATTAAACATCTCTAAAATTTAATAGCCCTGACATTAATTCCCACTCTCAATTATGGACAATGATTTAAAGTGTTTTTCACC